CGCGGCGGCCCGGCCCCGCGAGCCGACCCCGCGTGCCCCCTGCGAAGCCGATGGAGGATCCCAGCGTCCGCGGGCGCCGGCGCCAGCGGCCAATCAGCGCCCTGGAGGCAGTTTTGAACGCCTCCCAACCACCGCCCCTGCCTGTGCCAACAGGCCAGCGCCCTCCCTCCCCCGCCACCCACCCACCCACACACACGCACGCACGCACGTCTGCCACGCGGCTCGTCCTGGCCTGGAGGCTCTCGACTTGGTTTCACTTTATTTTCTCATCTCTCGGCTTGTGGCCTTTTAATCTTGTCTGGCCCATGTTGGCCTCTGGGGGCTCCGTGCTCAAGCCGGGAGGGTGAGCAGTGCTCAGAGGTGACAGCACCCAGATAACGCACACTTAGGGCACCCTTGCCCCCAGGGCCTGGGCACCCAGAGGCCCCTGCCCTGACCCAAAGCTAGGGCAAAGTGCAAGGTCCCCTGGGACCTACGCTCCTCACCACCTGCCTGTCGCTCCTTGAGAGGATGGGGGGCTCGCAGCCAGGGGCGGGAAGCAGCAGCCCTACAGCCTTTCCCTCAGGGTTCAAGTTTCTAGGGAAAGGAAGGGGTGTGGCAGCCTCTGAGGTCTGGTAGCTGTACCCCAGAGGCACTGCGACTTCCCCAGGCAGAGCTGCCCTTCCTCCCTGCACCCCCACCCAGTGAGTGGGGGCAGGGCCCCAGGCCCGTTCCCCCACCATCTCCAACTCAGCTCTGAATTGGCAGTGGGGGCCTGACTGAGGGTGCAGAGCCCAGGTGTCTGGGGCCAGGTTTGGGGCAGAGGGTTTACCAGTCCCTTCTGTCCAGGTTTCAGACCCTGGACCTGGTCGCCTTTCGCTGGACCTGACTCCCTCCACCCTTTTCAGGCGGGCTGCCCCCCCCCACCCGCCCCCTTCTGTGTCCCCAGGGCACCTGCTCTTTCCTGGGGGCGGTATAGGGTCTGACTAGGGTTCCTGTCCCTCATCCTGGAATTTGGGAGGGGGCTCCTTACCCTCCTCCAACCCCTCCAAGCTCTGGCCCCTCGGTCTGGGACAGGAGAGGCTGGACAGGCAGCAAGTCTGGCCTCTGGGGACAGAGGTTCCCTCGGGAGCGGCTGCTGCTCTGCTCCACAGAAGGAAAAAGAACGTCCTGGAGCCCGCCCAGTCCAAAAAAAGAATAAGAAAACGTGACAATCCCAGAAAAAAATGTCATAACCTTTGGAGGGGTTTGACAGAGCGACTCTAATCCCTCCTCTGACCCTAGTCACTACCTTTCCTATCTGCTGCCCCCCCACCTGGCTGGTAGGGGAGCCCCAGCCTGGTGCCAGCAAGGCAGGTCAGTTTCCTGAACCCCGGTAACCCTCGCCAATGGCTGGGGCGCCTCAGCCCTCTCTGCGGGCAGGGTTTGGCCCCAAGGAGCCTGTCTCCTGCAGTAGGGGCCCCTTCCTCCAGGCTCTGACGTCCCCAGCCCTACCTCCAGGTACTCGCCGTGGCGCCCCACTCACCAGCGACCCGATGGCGAGGGGGGGCGGGAGGGGCCACGCTCGCTCTGGGCCCCACCCTCCCTGTCGAAGGGGCGTGCGCTGCAGCCGCAGGGACTCGAGTCAGACGGCAGGAGGTTCTCCTGCGGCGCTCCGGAGGGCGTCCGGCGCCGGGCCCGATCGGCTGGGGCCGGGGCGCAGCGCCTCCCCTGCGACTCCAGGGCTCGGAGGCTGCCAGATCCAACGGGGCGGGGGCGGATGGGGTGTCCCGCCTCGGCCCCTCCCCGCCAGGCTGAGGGGGGCGGGAGACGCGGAAACCTGGGTTCTTCCGGCCCCCCTTTGAGCAATCACTTCCCCAGGCTCTGAGCTGCAGAAAAGGGGAACCGGTTGCAGTGC